GGTATAATGACATTTTTTATGTCAGTTACTGATAAAGCCAAACCACACGTAATTTCTCGTTCATTACGTTAGCATTGTGGTATCACCTAGACATCACCAAGCAAAGATGAAGACACCAGTGTGCTTGGTGTGGGACATGCACACGGACACAGTGTTTTCAATCTAAGGCTCTGATCCTGCAAAGATTGGCACATGTGCTTTATACTTTGCCAGTAATCTCACTGAAATCAGTAGGACTGCTCATGGTGAAATGGTTAGGCATGTATGTAAATCTGTACAGGATCTTAGTAAAGAAAACAATGATATGATGCTTGATGTACTCAGGCTTGATAGAGAGTAGTCCTTCATATTTAACTTTACTGCAGAGACATATCTTGACTCCTACATTATTTCCGATCCAGTAATTTGGAAGGGGAGGCTATTTGGTGAGAAGTAGCATTGCCTTCAAAGAGAGTGATTGAGTATCTTTCTCAACCTGTAATTCTTTGTTTTTCAATATTAAAACCCACCATCCCTAAGGAAGGAATTTCAGAGGGCAAATTACAAAAGAATTAAGTTCTGTGTTACCAGCACTATTGGGAATGCCCTCATTCAGCAAAGTAGGTGCTTAAGTACTTTCCTGCATTGAGCTCTTAAAGCATTACCATTAAATAAACCCATAAAAATCCCAATTAGTGTCTTCTACAGGTAATAAGTGGATCATTGAGTCCCATATTGCTATTTTCTTATTTTGGGATTTAGCCCTGGAAAATCTTGTGTTTCTGATTCATCCCTTCTCCAAACTAGATTGTTGAGTAGTCTCCTTGGAATAATACTAAACAGTGTAATAGAGTAACAGCATGGTAGTTGCGTGACAACTGCTATTCTAGGAGATAAAATAGAATTTAAATCTCGCAAAAGTGAAGAAAGTTAGGGCTAAAGGGACACAAGCAATTTCAAAATATGACACATCTCCCTAAAATGTTTTCTCTAACGGTGTTATCATTAACAATTTTAAGTAACAGGATGCAAAGCATTTCTTTCAGCTTGTTTATTTTGTACACCAAGTGCTGCCAAATGCAGAGTTTCTCCTGTACAGACTGCTGGTCAGTTTTCCTGTTTCTTATTTCCTTTGTCATAAAACGGAGAAGAGGAAAATGATTTAAAAACAGAAAAATGTGATTGCACAACAGGGGCAGAGAAATTAGCTGGCTTTTTGTCATATTGCTATCTAGTCAACTAAAAATGTCCTTTTTAAAGTTAAGTTCAGCTTTTCTAGATTCACCCTGGCTAAGGGCTCCTATGATGCTTGTTATTTCCTCACTAAAAGGGGGAGAGGAGAGTGGTGCATCATGGAAGTTGTAATTCAGCTCATAGAGAATGAGTGCATAAGGTGTCTGAACTACAGCTTCCACGAGGCACTATGGCACCATTTTAATTAAATATTTCAGTTTTCAATGTTTTGTTGAAACACATGCAGGAGGGTGAAAAAAGCACCATTTCCCAATCTGCTCTGATTAGTAAGACGTGGGTAACAAGCTTGGCTTCTTGGTAAGTTGTCATTGCAAATCTTGTATGTATTACCTTGAGTCAGCTTTTTTTTCCCCTCTGACAACCTGAACAATTGAGTTCAAAGTTTCTGGCTTCCCTTTTTTACTTTCTTTTACCCCAAAACCAACAAGGCTAGAATGATGTAGACTAATAATGGGGAGCAGCATCACTAGAATGTCTCATTAGAGGGTGATGAATCTGTTGAATAGGTCAGAGGAGTGCGAGGAAAAACCATAGACCACCCTACAAGACATGAAGTGTGATTATGGAGGAAATAGAAGCTGTGGTTTGAGGCTGCTCTAGGGGTCAGACCCATTAGTAATCCCTCCACTGTTGCAAGGGAGAAGCTTTAGCAATGAAATCAGGTAGAAAACAGGATGGTTTTACACAAAGCAGCAAGAGAACTTGAAGTTTATTCCTTGATAAGACTAGTTTTCTTCCAGTGCCATAGCATATCTTTTCTGGGAGGCTGTTGGGAGGGTCAGCCTAAACAGCATCCTTGTGTGACAATACTGATAACATCAATAGTAGTCCCAAAGGTGACATAAAACAGAAGGGCCTTTCACTTTCTTGTATAGCACTGACAGATTTTCTCCCCAGAGGCCTTGCATTGATCCAAGCTTCTGACATCAGTGCTTTTCCCTGGAGCTTTTCCTAATAGGCTGGATTCTGATTCCTAATCTCCCTCCTAGCCATCTGCCTGGGTTTTGGCCCTTTTGAGGGCCTTCCAGCGGAGCCTTCTTTTCTGCCGCCACCTCCCGTCAGGGTCACTCACAGGAAAGAACTTTCCTCTTGCAGTTCTTCTCTCTGAGTGTGACGGAACCCTCCTTCCCTCCATGCTTTATGAAATAGACTTATGGACATAGATATGGCTTTGTGACTGTAGGAAGCACCCCCAAGGGGTCTTCTGTGACCATCACAGAGAGCACCCAGCGCTTCTGGAATTCATCTGATGCCTTCCCAGTGGATCTGAAACTGAAGTCAGACACCTAATCCACTTGGGGGAGAGTTGATAAGGCAACGCTGGGCCTGACTCAGCATAAGAAGCTAGCCAGCTGGTCAGACAGGTCCAAGAGAATAGTGCTAAGCCATTGGTCATGATCACCAAGATCTGCATGCATCTTGTCAGCCCTTCTTGATACATGTGAAGCTTCTAAGGCAGACTGCAAGATGTTTTGGGCTGCAATGTCTTCAGTATATTGAATGCTTAGCCCTGTTGTCTTTCCATTGAATCCAGGTATCTGTAACCTTTCACTGTGTCTGATCAAGCTTATTCTTGCTAGCTTCTTGTAATAGATACTTATGGGTATGTGGAAGACCATTCAGCAACTTTAACTAGAATAGAACATTGCCACCCATCACCTGAAAGAAGTAGTGTGGTGCACATTTAATCTCCATTGGCTCCTTTCGAAGCTGTTAGTGAAAAACTTTTAAAACAATGAATGATCTGAGATGTAGCTGTTCAAAAGCTGCCTCTTCTGCTATTTGCCATCACAGTGTGCAGTCAGCTCTTTGGTTGGATGTTTCTAGGACTTTCCCAGCAGAAGTCCCCCGCTCTTTACCATCTATGTTTAGAGTCTATATCTTCTTGCAGTCCATTAGAGACCAGATCCCTGACAATGTGACCGCTAACATTTCTGCCAGCAGTATTATTCGTTGTTGTTGGTGCTATCCACTGTGGGTAGCACTATGTATAACGTGTTGGTAAATACTGTAAACAAGTTCATATCTGTCATAGTAATTAGCTCTATGTGAGAGAGAAACTCCCTCTTTTGTAAAATTTGGTGTATTTTTATTCTGTAGCAATGTGTTCTTTCTCTGTATCAGACGTCTGTTCTTCCACTCCTGTAAACAAAAAGCTTTAATCATTTTATGGAAGTCTAAGAGACTTTTTCAAAATATATGTGCCCTAGGAGTGCTCTTCAATTTGCAGTACTGTTTTGAAAAGGAAAGTTAAAACTGGCTGCCTTAAATCTCTGTGAAAATATTTCTTCAAAAACTCTCCCTGCAGATAGACATTACCTATTCTTTATATTGCAGGATTACAGCTGGACAGACATCCGCTGTCCCTTTGAAAAGCGCAGAGATGCAGCTTGTGTCTTCTGGGACAATGTAGTTTATATTTTGGGAGGCTCCCAACTTTTCCCCATAAAGCGAATGGACTGCTACAATGTGGTGAAGGATAGCTGGTATTCCAAACTGGGACCTCCAACGCCTCGAGATAGCCTTGCAGCTTGTGCTGCGGAGGGCAAAATTTATACATCTGGTGGTTCAGAAGTGGGTAAGACACAATCTTTAAAAAATTATATATATAAAATACTTTTTAGTTGCATTACTTCCTTGTTTGAATAGAATCTGTGCATGTTGCTGTAATACTAGACTATGAAGTTCTCCTGTCTAACAATAGGTTTCTATCTAAATGCTAAGAGGTTTTATCAATTTGTAGTGCATATTAAGACTCCATTTTACTGAGTAAAAATGAACAGTCTGTCTTTTGTTTGTATCATAAAGAAATAGCTGCAGCTGTCTGAAGTAAATTAGCTGCAAGCAAATACATTTCAGGGGGAGGGTCTTTGCTTACTGGTGTAACTTGCAGAGAATTTCACTTTTTTTTGTATTCAGTAACAACAGAATGTAACCCGAGATTTTAATGTAACAATATAATATTTCCAAAAGCTATCCATTTTAATTGAAGGGAAACCCCTACTTAACTGGTCATGTACAGAAGGATTTCCTACCCCCAATTTTAGGTGATGGTTTGTTGAAAAAAGTTGCTTCTTGCTGGTGTGACCTTTTTTTTCCCTCAATTAGCATCTGCTTCCTTAACTGAAGTGAACTTTCTCCTTCAGAAACAGATTTTTGACTAGAGTGAAAAAGATCCTGTATGCCACAGAGGAAGATAAATCTATTGCAAAACAAGTGCCCTAGTTCCAATTTCCTACTTCTGTATTAACTCGATTTATTTCATTTGGCTTATGCCTCATTTATACTGATGTAAGGAAAGTCTGCATCAAACCAACTTCTGCGGTATAATGTATGAAGATTCACAAAAATAAATACCGTGACAGTATAATCCATAGTTAGTCATTTTGAGTTCTGCCTTCCTACAGAGTAAAGCAAGCAGAAAATAAACAACCAATCATTGTCAGTAGCTAACATGAAGTATTATTCCCTTGATAAGTTGTGATTTTTAGATAGTATTTGATTTTAAAATACTTCATCAGATTTGACTTTGCAATTGGTAAGGCAGCAGTTCATATCTGCCATCTAGTGTTGTACATATGAAATAACTGTTTTCCCTCTTGCAAATCATTTACTCCTCTCATGCTGTGAAATTCAGACCTGAGGTAAGGCCTATTCTTCTCTGTCCAAAATGACAGTCCGTTAAGGCAGTGTGACTAAACTTGGACTGCACAGGCTCTCTTCCCCAGCATATCACAAGAAGTTAATACACTTGTAATAGGAAACTGTTATAGGATTTGTGTTTTCAGTAAAATATATAGTTCTTCTTTTCTTGCTATCAGTGTTTAAGATAATTTAGTTCTCCTGTTACTATTTTATTAAAATTAATTTTGATAATGTACAGATTTTGGAATCTTTGACAAATAATGACCAATTGTCCAAAAATTTTCATTTACACTGTGTCAAACTTTTACCTTCCTGATTAAGATCAGAGAGAATAAGTAACATTTTCACCTGACGTATGTCTAAAGTGTTTTTATTTTTTTATTCTTCCCCAACTTCCCTCCCCACTAATCTTTCTGTAACAGTTGATAGTAAATTACAGGGCTGCTTTTTTTTTTTTTTTTTTTTTTTCCTTCTTCAATTAAACTCCTTGACAAGTCAGTAACTTATTGTTTGGTGTTGGATTGGCTATAAAAGTCTGAAAAACATGTCAGGATTTCACTGATTGTTTTCCACTTAATCAGCATGATTAATATACCCTCTGAATCCCTTATGACCTTTATGCGTGTGCTGCTTAGTTTTATCTTGAAAATTTTTGTTAGCTGGTACAAGTGATGGAACTCTCTCTCTCATTGTTTAAATAAGGTAAAGATTAATTTACAGTGATGATGTATTCAGAACTGATTTTAATTTCAGATTTTTTAAAAAATATAGTTTGATGGCCATTCCTGTTAATGCTTCCATTAGTGTTAATGAGTGTGTGTTTTTGTATGAAGGAAAAATATGCTCCATTCTGTGTGTAGCTTGGCTTTATAATTTTGTGTTGCCCCTGCTAAGCAGAAGTAAGGTGCGACACAGCCTGTTTCATAATTAGTAAATGTGCATCTTGGTTAGTCCAACAAAAATATGTACATTTCATAGAAGTTTCTGCAGGCCTGATGCCCTGCCACATGGGTTCCAAGAGTCTGAATCCCTACCTCCCAAGACAGGCAAGGGTTGGGAGTTTGTTCACTTCTAGAGGTGGAGAAAAGTGGGAAATATCTTGCCCTTATTCAGGTGGTATCAGATGGAATAAAGAGTTAAAATCACAGATTAGCTAGTGGAATCTATCTCCCAACATTTTTCACTTGTGCCATGATTCAGACCAGCACCAGCTTAAATGCTAAAGTATCATTGAATTCCCACTGCAATCAATAGGACTTTTTCAGTTGACATCAGCAGGACCTGGATTGGGGTTTTCAAGGGAAGAGCACTGATACGGGACCTTTAGAAAGTGAGAAGGCACGTCATCTTGCCATCCCCTGGAAAGAAGTACAACTTCAAATGGCAGTTTTGTAGTGAAGTGATCACTAATCCCATGGAAGTAAACTACAGTATAACTTAATATTGCCACTATATTCCAAAAAGAATACATTGCAAGAAACATTACAAAGTGAATTAATCATATTGTGTATTGCAATTTGAATCCTGTTGATTTGTATGAATCTGTGCAATTTACAAGTCTTCATCTGTTTTAACGACACCATCTAAGAGTTCAGCACATTTCCAATAAGGAAGCTGACATCAGATAAACTATCCTGTTAACTAATTGTAAATACATTCTCTCATGTCCCTGTTCATTTCTTCTTTTAATCGACCTCCCTCGGGCATCCAAATGAGTTTCATTAAAGTACATATGTCAACACTTATCCTAGGTTTAGGCCAACTAGTCTGGGATGGGGTAGAGAGGAGTGGGATAGAAAGCAGCTTTCCCCTGTAACTAATGATTAAAGTATTGACACAGTATTGTTAGGTTTTTCTTTTCAAATGCAACCTTTAAAGTAAACATTACTTTGCTTTCTTGAAGGAAACTCTGCTCTGTATTTGTTTGAATGCTATGATACACGAACAGAAAGCTGGCACACCAAGCCTAGCATGCTGACTCAGCGGTGCAGTCATGGGATGGTGGAGGCAAATGGCCTGATTTATGTATGTGGAGGAAGCTTGGGAAACAATGTTTCTGGAAGAGTCCTGAATTCCTGTGAAGTTTATGATCCGGCAACAGAAACGTATGTACTGATTCTAACTACCTTTGTCATTAGTAGCTATTGTGGATTTGCTTGCATTTCAGATAGCCAGCAGAGAGACAACTGAGAAGAACTGTGCAGTTACTGAAGAAGGAAAGAGGAATAGTGAATAGGAACGCAGGATATTTGGCTGGCTGGATGCAAAGTGCAGGCCTGTGCTTTAGGAACCTTTCCTCTTCTATATCTTGCCTTTCCCAATGTCAGAAGTTGAGAAATAATATAAATACATTATCAAGAACTGGGTGAGTAATTCTTCATTTTTTTTTCAGGTGGACTGAGCTGTGTCCAATGATAGAAGCCAGGAAGAATCATGGGCTGGTGTTCGTAAACGACAAAATATTTGCTGTGGGTGGACAAAATGGCTTAGGTATTCAGTGTTTAACTATATTCAGTTTATCCACAAAATATTGTTTCTGACCAGGCTTTTACACGTACAAGTTATAAATTATTAATAATCATGTTTTATTACAGTAGTACCTAATGACCAACCAGGAATAGGGCCCCAATGTGCTTGACACTGAGCGAGCAAACAGAATGACAGAGACTCCTTGTCCTGAAGATTGTTAAAACTACATAAATAAGATAGACACAGGGATGGGAGAAAATATACAATAGAGCGAATAACATAGTGGCAAACAGCATATTAGTTCCACACTTGTTTGAAGGGGGCAGAGTAGATTTGCTTAAGAGTGGCTCAACGGAGGGATCTGGGTGAGGGAGAAGAGGATAACCGGATCAGATATGGAATGAAAAGAAGGAGGATTGAAGCAAGCCGCTAATCAGAACAGAGAAAGTCCATTGTAGTCATGTTCACACTAGGGATGTAATAGTGAAGTTGATTAACCAGTGAACCGATAAGCAAAAGCGTATAGGTTAATGCTATAGACTATGAACATTTCTCTCCCTCCTCTGCCAGTAAACTTTTTAGCAGGCTGGCCAGCAGCCAAGCTCTGTCCTGGCTCATGCCAGGACCGGGGCCTACCCCCACTGCAACTCTGCATTTAAAGTGTATTAGGAGCCAGGTGGGCAGGCAGCCCGACTCAGTTCCGGCTCGCACTGGGTCTGAGAACTCAATACCTCACCCGACGGGCTGCTTCCCCCCTGCGCTGCTGCCTCCTTATCAAAGGCAGCAGCATGGGGTGACAGGCAGCCAGTCCGTGAGGGGAGCTAGTTTATAAACACCTGCCTGGCACTCCATGCAGCTGCCTCCGATACAGAGGCAACAGTGCAGAGTGGCAAGGGGCTCCTCAGGAGTGGGGCTGGAGAGCACTGGCTGCCGGCCTCACCCTCGCGGATCATAGAATAATCAAGTAACCAATAAGAATTCATGAGGTTAATTGGCTATTCAATTAACTGATATTTAACATCCCTAGTTCACACAAGTGACAGATTTTTATGAGCAAATGAGTAAAAGACTGACTTACAGTCTTCCAATTGATCAGTTATTAGGATCACATGAACATTTAAAAAAAATTGAATTATGCAGCTTTGTAACTTGTATGACCACTTGTTGGTTTGGGTTTTTTAAATACATTAAATACTACAATTAACAACAAATCTACTTATATTATTTTTTGAATGTATTGCTTGGCAGCAACTGCAATCATGCAAAATAAAAATAGAAGCTATATCATACTCATGATTTTGTATACTTGCACTGTAAACTATGGTTTAGGTCAGAAATTATGATACAGTCAACCTATTGTTTAGTGCTTTGCCTTATGCTTGGTAAAAATCTGGTACCACAGTCACATAAAGGTATTAATCAAAGGCTAAAATTGAAATTTACTCAGTAAACAAAGATAAGCATTCCTTTAAAAGAAAAGAGCTCTAGGATCTGCAAGTCTCAGTTTATTAAAGGCCCTCAATATTGCATCACATGCAGTAGGGATGTTAAATATCAGTTAATTGAATAGTCAATTAACCTCATGAATTCTTATTGGTTACTTGACTATTTCATAGTCCTTAGGGGTGGAGTCAGCAGCCAGTGCGCTCCAACCCCACTCCTGAGGAGCCCCCTGCCACTCCATGCTGCTGCCTTGGTATCAGAGGCAGCAGCGCAGGGTACCAGGAGGGAGCTGGTCCAGAGAGGGGAGCCAGTTTAAAAACCAGATACAGAGGCAGCAGCATAGGGTGACAGCAGTCCCTGTCCGGGAGTGGGGGCTCATCTCCCAGACCTGGCGCAAGCCGGAACTGAGCCAGGCTGCCTACCCGCCTGACTCCTAATACACTTTAAATGCAGAGCTGCAACGGGGGCAGGTACCAGACCCTGCACAAGCCAGGACTGAGCTGGGCTACAGGCTAACCTGGTAAAAAATTTACTGTCCGGGCAGGGGGGAAATGCGTGTAGCTTTTGCTTATCAGTTAATCCACTACACTGTTACATCCCTCGTATGCAGAAGATGGCAGCTTCTTCAACAAACGCTTTTCCCTTGTTTTCAACTCCCTTCCTAGCAGTATTTTCTTCATCATATATGTCATATCATATAATATCTGATCGTATCATATCATATATAAAAATTTCCTGTGAGATGGCACATTGACATCATCTTGTCACTCTGTGTCCACAGGCTCTGCCCTCGCATGGGCTCCCTGCCCAGACAGGCAGATTTGCCATCACCAAACACTAACAGTCCAACCTGAGCAGATTCTGCCTCCCAATGGTCCTGCCCACTCAGCTCTGGCCATGGCCTTTTGGACAGCCTGTTCCCCGGCCCAGGGTCTGCTTCTGCTGGTGCAAGGCCCACTCGTGCTGGGAATGGAGGCAGGCTCCCATGCCCTCCGGGCACCATGACTTACTCCAGGGCAATGCTGCTGTCGTTCTTGGTGCTCACGGGCTGGGAGAAGCCCCAGGTGCAGGGCGAGGCGCTCCACTGCCTTGGCTGCCTGCCACCCCATCCTCTGCCGCATGCTGAGTGGCTATGTTCTGAGCCCAGCTCCAAGCCACCCCAGTGAGACCCAAGCACAGACTGTCTCCCCAGCCACGCATGGGGCTGCAGCAGTGAGTGGCACTTCTGCAACGTGGGCAAGGAGGCAACTGGCAGCACTGACCTGACCAGCCCAGGCCCCCTTTGTTTGGCCATGCAGCCTCACCCTCCCTCCTCCCCTGCGCAGTTGGAGCACCAGCACTGGCTTCCTGCTGCAGTAGGGGAGAGGGGAAGGAGAGAAATCCTCAAGCCTCACTGCACGGAGAAGCAGCACTCCCCCTCCTGGGCTGGGGAAACAGCAGTGCTTGAGTGTGCTGTCTGGAGGCTTTTGTTGCGCTCCTGTTGGTCAGAATCCAGCTAATGGGAGCAGCTGGAGTCCAACCCTCGGACTGATGCAGGGCTCAAAGACCAATAAGTGTCCCCCATCCTTTCATGCCCAGACCCTTACCCTCTCACCATCACTTACCCCTGTGCTGAGACCCTGCACCCCAGCCTGCTTCTGTTCCCTCCCCCATTACTACCTCTCCTGCCCAGACATCCTTCCCCCAAGCCCACTCCTGCCTCCTGTCCCCAAGCCTGCTCCAGTCCCCCCCTCCTGCCCCGGCCAGACATCCTACTCCCAGCTTGTTCCTGCACCCTCCCTCCTGGCCAGACCTCACACCCTCTGCCCTTCCTGCATCCTATCCCACTTGATGGCAGCTCTGTCCCACACACTGAGCCACTCATATTTGGCCCCACCCCAGAGTCTGGGGGAGGGGGCGGGGTTTCCACAAAATCCACTACCCTGGAATCCCAGAAGAGTTAATCTGTCCTGAGGCCTTGAGCCTCAGTCCTGCTCACTCCCATGAGGTTGGGGCACCACGGAGTGAGGTGTTTCAGTGGAGGGCCACATCACTGATGGTTGGGGATTTTGAGGGGGGAGGCTTTTTTTCCTTCTCACATGTATGGTCCCCAACTGATTTTTCTGTTGGTCAGTGGCCCCGACCCAAAAAAGGTCCCCCACTCCTGCCATAAATAAAGAAAATGTTGAAACCTTTTTGTGTTGGACATAATATTTTACTTTATTAAAATGAAGCCTGGCCAACAAGGCCCCATTTGGGGCCCAGCCCTCATCTGGCCTCAGCATCCTATCTCTGGCCCCAATCCTGGGGTCCAGGTCCCGTGGTCCAGCCCCCATCTGGCTACAGAAAAGGCTGGTGGCGGCTCCCCCTCCTGCTGCTCCATGGGTAGGAGGAGAGGCCACAATCCAGCCACAGTGGACAGAGGGGTTTGGCGAGTGTAGCGAGCACTGGGCACAGCCCTCTTGTAATTACTGATCATTAAAAATAATTAACCTACCTATTTGGTTTTTTGCAGCATTCATTTTTCATCCCTTACTGTCCTTTGGAATTGCTCTAAATACAGTATCTCTGGATTTAAAATACATAATCTTGCTCAGTTTAAGGACATGCCATCACTACAGCCTGGATCTACAGGCAGCAATCGATCCAGCAGGAGTTGATTTATCATGTCTAGCAGAGATGCAATAAATCAACTGCTGAGCGCTCTCCCATCAACTCCACCCAAAGGAGAAAAGTAACTAGAGTTGATGGGAGGGCTTCAGCTTTTGATTTACTGCACTGAAGACATTGCAGTAAGCAGACCTAAGTACATCTATTTCATCTACGTTATTTGCATAAATGAAGTTATGTAACTTAGGTTGATGGCCTGCAAAAAAGTTTTGAGACACAATCTGAGACAGGATCACAGGTGAGAGAGGTTTCTCTTTCAGCTTGGTTGGGAGAATTACTAAGCTTAACTTCTTGAACATTGCCACTCTCAAAAACTTCATTTTATGATCTTTATCTCCATTTCTTTGATTTTTGGGGTGACAGAAAACACATGCCCTCCACAGTTGCCTCCTTTCTTCCTACCTCTCTGTATCCTAGATACTTCCCAGTCTATCCTACTTGAAATTGGATTTGGTGGAACTGCCAGTAGGAAGCTGGGGGAACTTGTTCCCACTATTAAATGAAACTTCTTGTAAAACAGGGTTAACTTGATTAACTTGTCATCTGACAAGAGGGTAACATGGTACAGTTGCTGCCCTGAGGAATTTACAATTTAAAGAATTATCACAAATCTACAATTAAAAAGGGTGAAACTACCTGTTTTGACTGCCCTAGATACTTAACATAGGATTTGTTGGGTAGTCTTGTGCAAGTCTTATCCTCTCTCTCCCTTCCTGTAAACCAGAAATAATACCTTCCTCACAGAAGTGTTGAAAGTTAATTAGGTAATGTTTCTAAAGTGCTTTGAAGATGAGAATTACTGAGATGCTAACTGTATTACTTATTCATGCTAACAATGGGAATATTTTGTTTCACATTAATGCTAATTAAATGGCAAATTATAAACTAACGGTATTCTAACATAATGGTAGTTTTCAGTGCAAAGAATGATATGTAGATGCATCTCACATGCACGTAATGAGACACTCAGAAACTCCACCCTTTGAGCCTGCTAGTTGAACACTGAATTGGAAAATATCTATGACTTCCAAGTGGGGCAAAATAGTATTTTGAAATTAACTTTTTGTTAGTGAAAATTGGCGTGATTAACTAAATACTTTCACCACGGTGACGGCACTGAAATAAATTTATAAATAACAGCCATCATCATAGATTACACATCTTTTCAGGGTAACAGTTCTCAAAATCGCGTGTGTCTGAGCAGTCAGAATTTAAGACTGGGAATTACTACTCCTCTCTGCCCTAGGTGTGATAGTGTTGTGAGGCACTGATTATAAAAGTGCTTTTGGATTGGATGGTACATTAAAATTGTTTGTGGTCTTGTAATTGTTTTTCAGCACTTTCCTTGCTGCCGCCTCTCTTTTGAGGGGGGGGAAAAAGCAGCTAATCCCAATTACAGACCATGTTGCCTTCTTAAGAAGGGAGGAGGGATTGATTTTAATAAAAAAACACAGTTGGGATGTCCAGTTTCAGCCCGGAGTGAAAGCTTAATGAAGAATTATTAAACAGGAACTTGTAATTGGAAATAACACACAGCTGGAACTCCAGCAATACAAATATTACCGCCTGTATGGTTATGCATTCTCTACACAAATACATGTTCTATAAATATTCACATTGTGAAAAGATATATGATGGATTAAAATATCCTCTACTACTGTGAGTCAAAGGCATTTTCGGTGAGATTTTTTTGGTAAGCAGTAGCAGTGTTCATATTGCTAATAATTGTTTGATTTATTTCAAGGTGGCCTAGACAACGTGGAATATTATGATATTAAGATGAATGAATGGAAGATGGTATCACCAATGCCATGGAAGGGTGTGACAGTGAAGTGTGCTGCTGTGGGCTCTATAGTCTATGTCCTGGCTGGCTTTCAGGGTGTGGGCCGATTAGGGCACATCCTTGAGTATAATACTGAAACAGACAAGTGGATAGCAAACTCCAAAGTCCGTGCTTTCCCAGTGACGAGTTGTTTAATCTGTGTTGTTGATACTTGTGGAGCAAATGAAGAAACGCTAGAGACATGAAGGCCTCAAGGAGAAGTCAGGACATTCTTCAGAGACTTGGAAAAGATGGCCATCGGTGCTTTGCTTTTGGATTTTATTGATTCTTGTTAAACTGAATAATCTTGAAAAACTGAGATGTAGCCCTCACATTTGTATATACAGTATGTGCCCATTTAATTTTTACCCTTTGTTCTAAAAGATGGGATGTATTTCAAGATTCCAGTATCCTAGCTCAGAACACGACACGTTTTCTTGAACAAATTTTTTGTGTGGCTTTGCCAAAAAATAACCAGCCTCTCTCCTCACCCCTCAGCATAGTTACCTGGAAAATGTTAGTGTATTTGATATAGTTTAGCCTAAATCTCAGAAAAAAATTAAAAACAACAAATAGTCTAGTAAGCACCTTAAAGACTAACACAACAAGTAGATGATATCATGAGCTTTCATGGGCACAACCCACGTCTTAGATGACAGGAGTATTAGAAGTCCAGATCCAAGAATAAATAAGGGGAGGAGCGAGGAGGAAAAAAATAGCACAAAGGGGGAGGGAAAAAAAGACAGTGAGTAGATAGTTCAAATAGTTACAAGAGGCTGATAAGAACAATTAGCACCTCTATTGGTTGGTTGGTTAAGTCGTTAGGCTGTGGAAGGTAGTGTGCAAGCCATTACTTTATTCAAGATACTGAAGTGCAAACCAGACTACAAAGAATTACAAAGGGATCTTATAAAACAGGGTAACTGGATAACATCATGGCAGATAGCATTTATCAATATTGAATGTTAAGTAAGGCATATTAGAAAAATATCCTAATTATACATACATACAAATGATGGGGTCTAAATTTGCTGTTAACCACTCAAGCGAGACAGCTTGAAATCATTATGGTTAAGTCCCTGAAAACATTTGCTTAATGTGCAGGAATCACTAAGAAAGGAATAGATAATAAAACAGAAAATATCACATTGTCTCTATATCAATCTGTGGCATGCCCGTATCTTGGCATGAAGTTGCCCCATCTTAAAAAGATATGTTGGCATTAGAAAAGTTTCAGAAAAGGGCAACAAAAATGATTAGAAGTATAAAACAGTTGCTGTAGGAGAAAAGTTAATAAGGCTGGGACTTTTCATCTTGGAAAAGAGATGACTTAAGGGGATTATAATAGAGTTGTAAAATCATTTCTGGTGTGAAGAAAACATAGAAGTGTCATTTACTGTTATTACACAAGAACTAGGGATCATCAAATGAAATTAAGGGGCAGAGGTTTAAAACAAACAAAATGAAGTATTTCTTCTAGGGATGTTAAATTGCATTTACTACCTGATTAGTTTATAAGAGGGGAAACTGCGGAGTCTCAGCAGGGATAACTCTGGGCCCCAGGAGCTAACCCTGCTGTGGCTCTGCCTTTTAAATGTATTAAGAACTGCCAGGTCTTAATACATTTAAAAGGCAGAGCCACAGCATCTGGGGTTGAGCGTGAGTTGGGACAGCTGATTCCCAGTTAATGCCTGGTCGTCCATCTCCCCGGGCCCCGTGCCTCTTCCTCTTCCTCTCTTGTCCCCCTCTCCTCCCCGGGGGCGGGGCGGGAGAACTGGCTTTTAAGCCCACTCTTCACTGCACTGGCTCCTGCTCCTCCCTAACTCCTTTGCTTCCTCTCTCTCATAGAGGCACGGGGAGGGGAAACGTGACTAGTTAAGTCACTACTTGACTACTTGATAAGCATATGTTTATTGGGTAGTCGACTAGTTGCTTACATCCCCAATTTCTTCATACACTGCAGTCAACTTGTGGAACTGTTTGTCAGAGATTGTTGTGAAGGCCAAGACTATAACAGGGTTAAAAAAAGAACTAGAAAAATTCATGGAGGAGAGGCCCATCAATGGCTATTAGCTGAGACGGGCAGGAATGGTGTCCCACAAGCTGTGAATGGGCAGTAGGGGATGTATCACTCTGATTATCTGTTCTTCAGAGGGAATGAACAGCACCTGATGTTGGCCACTGTCAGAAGACAGTATACTGAGCTAGACAGACCTTCGGTCTGATCTAGTGTGGCTGTTCTTAATATACATTCTACAGCTCAGACATAGAAATTCTCTAGATACCCAAGGTGAATTAATACAAGTTGTCATAGGCGAAAATGAATTTCCTCATACTGTTCTTTCTCTTTTATGCACATTGCACAACCACTATTCTTGTTTATATAGCCATTTAGTACCAACCTTGCGACACAAGGGGTATACTGGATTAGGAATGATATGTGAACTCATAACTTGCACAGCTCCTGCCTGTAGTATGGCAGTTTTATACCACTGTTGTTCATACATCATTTTGATAACTATTTCAGTGCATACTCATTTTAAAAATTAAACAGGCCACATGTATATTACAGAAACTTTGTTCCTTATTTGATTTGGCACTTTGAGGAACTTACACAAAAAGACCTCTAAATTATCACAAAACTCAGAATCTAAATTATCACAAAACTCAGAATCTTGAGGTTTGATTGCATATTTCATTCAACACAATAAAAGTGCTCTGTACTATCAGGTTGGGCACTTGGACTCAAGTCACAATTTGTTTTCCTAGACCAATGTGCTAAAAATATCATGGAAGCCAATCCATTTGTGAAGATGTGGAGGGTGGGGAGAAGTAATAAGTTAGTTATAACTATGCAAACATAAATTCCTTTCAATTTTAAAGAGACTTATACATTTGGAAAATAATTTGAAAAATCTGTGGGCAATTAAGTGTGCAGTGCTAAAAATGTACCTGAATCATCAAAAACTTCACTGTAGACATGGATACAATATAATCTTCCAAGTTCCATGGTGCTCCAGTTCACAGTATAGATAAACCAGGCTTGTCAACTAACCTCTTGTACACTTACCAATTCATGAAAATTTTCACTCTACAGGCGGCCCCCGACTTGTGATGTGATTGGTTCCTGGGGAAGCATCGCAAGTTGCGGGTGTTGTAACTCGACCCCTCATTTACCATGTGCGCCGTCGTAAATGTGGGCCGAAGACTTAAGTTGGGGGGGTTTCGGCCCCTTCCGCACTTACAAAAATGGCTGTAAGTGCAGGGGGTCAGAACTCGGGTGGTCTCATGTTGGGGGTTTCCTGTAATTCTATCTGTCCAATAACCTGCTATCCTTTTTCAGACCAATCCCTTCTAGACTACCAAGACAGCATTGACTTCTTAAAAAAATAATTACATTGGTACATACTTTTTAACGGATACCCTTTCGAAAGGAGAATGGATGTTTAAGATGCTCTGCTCCAAGTTCTTGGTAAATTTGGTAAATTTCCAGCTTCCAGATCTCACTATCTTTCTCAGATCTCATGGACTGGATTAAATTCTACTTTCTGGGTTGAACAGGCTGATTATTATAGCTGCTAGCATGTTTTTAAGATTCTGAAGCACATTTATTTTCCATTGGGTTAATAATTTTCTTAAACTACAGATAAATTTATAAATACAAAGAAGGGATTTGAAAAAAAATTGTCATAGCACAGTTAAAAAGCAACTTCAGTGGAACATTTTGTTGAAACTGCTGTAAGTAAAGAAGATCTTGCTTATGTACATCTGTTCAAGCTTATGATTATTTGGGATTTCTCATGCTATATATTCTAGCTTGCAGGCTAGAGCATGCTGAACTTGGTTCATTGAATGAGTGGTAACAAGTATTAGATTATGAAGAGTGCAACAAAACTTTTCTTAGATAATTCTGTGTATCAAGCATGTTTATTGATAAAACTTAAAAGGCTTCTGTGTTTGGTATCAGAAGCATCCTTTGGAACTTTCTGATGGAAATGAAACAAATACCTCAGTGAAGCTTGTGGGTCAGTAAATGATGTTCAGTAAATGTTTTCTTCAGTCTTATCTCACCACACAAACTTTAAAAAACACAACTGTTTGTGACAAACAGTTTAGTGACAAATCCCTATGTCCTACTTCATGATACAGCTGTGAAGCTGGCATCATCCTAAAATCAAGACAATTTGATAGTTTATCTGGCAATTGAAATAATTCTGGTATTTTATGTAATTTGTAGGATTTTTAAAATGTTTAAAATAGAGCTGGCCTATCAGCTAGATAGTGTTCCCTATTTGAATGCTATCCTTAACTATAGTGATAGAAATGTAGCCATGTTAGTCTGGTGTAGCTGAAACAAAATACAGGACTATGTAGCACTTTAAAGACTAACAAGATGGTTTATTAGATGATGAGCTTTCGTGGGCCAGACCCACTTCCTCAGATCAAATAGAGGAAGAAAATTGTCACAACCATATATACCAAAGGATACAATTAAAAAAAAAGTGAACACATATGAAAAGGACAAATCACATTTCAGAACAGAAGGGGAGGAAAAACTTCCTAACCATCAAGGTGGTTAATCACTGAAATAAATTGCCTAGGGTGGTTGTGGAATCTCTGTCAATGGGGTGGAGGAGGGTGGTCGCGGCCATGTGTACCAAGGGATGCAATTTAAGGGAATGAACACATATGGAAAGGACCCCCCCGCATCCTCCTTCTGTTCTGAAATGTGATTTGTCCTTTTCATATGTGTTCATTTTTTTTAATTGTATCCTTTGGTATATATGGTTGTGACTATTTTCTTCCACTATTTGATCTGAGGAAGTGGGTCTGGCCCACGAAAGCTCATCATCTAATAAACCATCTTGTTAGTCTTTAAAGTGCTACATAGTCCTGTATTTTGATCCTTAACTATCACATTTTATCTGCTATACTTTTCCCAATATGCATTATATATAAAAATGCATAATATGAAGGTGCAATGTTTGGCACAGTAGGAGCCTGTTTTCCCTTACACCTATGGGAAGAGGGTCAAGGTGGATCCCTATCTCCCTCTTGTGTTGGCAGTGTGCATTCACTTTCTCTTTTGCATAGGGAGAGGGTAACGATCTGTTTTCCAGGGGAGATGGTATTATGAGCTTTCCTGGGCAGTGAAAGCTCATGATACCATCTACATGTTTCCTTAGTCTATAAAGTGCTACCAGACCAGTTTTTGTTTCTCCTGTACCGACTAACTCAGCTACCACCTGAAGCTTCCAGGGGCGAGGGGGATGAGCAGGTCCCAGACCAGGGGCTTTATAGTCTACAGGTAACTGGTGACGTGTCCCCGCTGAGAAGAGACCAGCCGCTGTTTCACCATTACTAGGGGGGTCGCTCCAGCAGGGAGAGGGTGTCAGCGGGGGTCACGCCTGGGGGAGGGGCGCAGAGCTGTAGCCAGGGATGGAGGCCTCCCCGCGGGGCAGGTGTGGGGGTGAGTCACGGGATCTCTCCCCCGCGTGCCGCTGCGCCGGGGCCCAGTGGATCGTTGCAGCGCTGGGCGCGCGAGTCAGTCAAAGGCTTGTCCCTCGCGGCGGCCCGTCCAAGCCTGTGGTGGAGGCGGGCCGCGAGCGTCAGTCCGGACTTGGGGGCGGTGAGGAGAGGAACAGCGATGGCAATCATAGCACGTGCAGGTAAGGCTAAGGACGCGCTCTCATAGGCTGTTCCGCTACCCAGGGCTTAAGGGGCGGAGCAACAGCTGTGCTTCTCATTGGGCCGCTCAACTGGCACTTTCGGCACAACCGGTAAAAGTCAGGAACCGCCTTCTCACGTTCTCCCGCGCCTGGGCAAAGGCTCGCCTACGTCACTCAGAAGCGCCGTAATGTCACGCGGTGAGGCGG